ACTGCAGTAGTCATTTCACAAAATGTAAGTCATACCATTATGTTGTAACCTTATACAGTGATATATGTCAAGTATATCTCAGTAAACTGAGGGGGGGAGAGAAACCAAAGAACAGCCAAGGTGCCTCTGTTTACAGCTTGAGTCATATCATGTCCCTTCTTGGCTCAGAACATTCCGGTGGCTCCCACCTCACCATTAAGTCCTGGCCTTTCTCGGCCTCGCTCTCATCACCCCAACCACTCTCGACTCCTCATGCTTCCTCAAACATCCCAGGCACAACCCTACCTCAGGACCTTTTGCACTTGATGTTTCCACTGTCTGTATAAACTCTAAGCCCACAAATTACATGGCTCTATTACCTCCTTCAGGGTTTTATTCAAATGTTATCGTCTCAGATATCTTCCCCAACTTAACCACTTAACCTAAAATGTTAACACTCACCCTAATATTTATTTCTCTATCCTGTTTCTTTTTCCTTGCTTATTCTCTATTAATGTACTATATATCTCACATTTGTTTTATTTGCTTTTTGTCTCCTCCAATGGAATGTAAGCTCCCTCAAAGCAGTGATTCCTGTTCATTTCTTATCTTTGTATTTGCAGTACAAAGCACACAGTAAGTGTCCAATTGTTGACTTAATGAATTTTTGAAAGCCTTGAAGCAAACAGGATCAGCTTGAAAGAAATTAAATAAGGATAGGGAGCCTTACCCAAAAGGTAAATGAGTTGATCACTGGAGAAATTAGGAAAACAGTTTTCCCGGAAGAGATCCAGACACCCTGAGGCTAGTTTCCAGGGTCTGCCTTTGTGCAGGTGTCTCCTACAGAGCTCCTCCTCCCCCTGCCTCCAGCTCTTACATTGGCCTGGTTAATTCCATGCAGTCTTCAGCTATTGACACAAGCTTCACTCTCTTGGGGACCTAGCCCCATAGCAACCTTCTCTCCCACCTCCAGGCTAGATCAGATTTCACATGCCCAGAATATAATAAAGGCTCAATAAACATGCTGAGTGAATAAATG